ACATACCCAAGATATTGAGGTAGATAGTTTAAAGTAATCTTATCAAGTGAATGGTCATGTTCATTATAGTCAAAGTCCCCACTAGAACTCAGAACTATTAACCATTTTTCTCGAGCATATTCAATTAATCCTGCCCAGATACTGATGCTCGAACACAGTACCACTGGTTAGCTTGAGTTTTTAAACTGAGGATTATAACTGTATGTTCTCTGTTTATGGGAAAGGAAGCCAAAGGGATAAGTATTTGCCCACATTTACCGATAAGCCACTTTCGACTAAAAACCTACCTATATATTACAGTTTTATATTCTGCTCAGATGTATGCGTTTAAGAATGGTTGTGAAGGTATCAAGATATTTTCGTCTGTATGTTTTTTATGACAAACAGAAAATCGTCCCTACTAATTGTTTGATAAATTTCAATCTCACCCTTGATTAGTAATTCTGTTTTGATAATAATTTTTATAAGAGTATTTTCTATCAGTCTGTGAGACCATTGAAAACATGAAAGCTCTGAATGGCCATTTGATCTAAGTTTTAATATCCTCCTCTACTACCACACGAGGGCTTGAACTCAAGGCTATCTGGCATTGCAGCAAACGCGCAGCTACCCTGTGTTGAAGTCACTTCTTCCAGCTTTTTTAAACTTTTGATTTAGAACAATCATCATCAATAGGCATTTGCTTCACTCTCAAGTTGGTTGACTCCAAAAATCACAATATATCAATGATTCTATGACTGATATCAGACAATTTTGAAGACTACTTTCAGACCAATGAACTCCTACGAACTTCCAATCGCATAATTATTCCACAGTCATTTAATCATATTTCTTTGTTCTTTGTATAAGAGTGGTATGTCTATTTCCCTAGGAATGGAATTCCACTAATTGGTATGAATTTATATCTGTTTTCATTTATTCACACTTGATTAAGATTTTAATCTAGTTAGTTATTAGATCGAATTTACACGTCTTAGGTTTTTGTAACAAACTAAAATTTGATGTGAAATATAATGAAGTGAAACTTTGCGGCACAGAGGGATATAAAAGAAGTGACAGCAACAAATCTTAACGGAAAACAATGAATTCAACGAATTCACTCTCATTTTCATTACTAAACATATAAGATGTAAGATAGTATTATTGCTTGTGTTATACCGTGGTTGATTGGTGCATGATGGCCTATGAAGTATATGATGGTTAACATTCGTTTGCCAAATATACTAACAAAAATCTATTGATGCATAAGTTGTCATTATCATCAGGATGTAATCAAAATTGTGATGAATGGTAAAGACCAACTATAATGTGACTAGAGTCGTATAAAGATTATCAAATTTACATAAAAATTCAAGTATGATTAGGAAGAGAGTAGAAACAGGAATGAACAGAAAACACATGGAAGTGAACAGAATTAAAGAAATTGGCGACTGTAAATACTCAGAATTAATGCCACACAAGGAGAAGCAGGTGAACAATTTCCTTTTACCTGCAAACCCGAGGATTCTCTATATGGATGGCAAAAACCCTGACCATTCAGAGAATATGAATGCATAGAACCTTTGGACAGTTTCCTCTCACTTTATAAATAACCTTAAATGGAGAGTTTCTCGTGGCACGATGACCTTTGTCGACGATATGTTCAATCATAGCGCCTCTTATCAATCCAATGCTACCTTCCTGTAGTTGCACAAGATGGGGGTTCTGAACCCTGTCGAATAACAGTTATATCAAACAAACCTATGTAGTTGGTTTCTTAAGATCAGGTCAACTGGGATACGTAAGTAGAAGTGACTACATTTTGGAATTTGTGCATTAAGTTGTTATAAAACAGTGAATAGTAGGAGAATACTAATCTCCATGTTGATGATGTCACTGGTAGAATCATGAATGTGAAATTGTCCTTATCAACTATTGACTTTGTATCTTTATATGAAACGCGAGGGATACCCATCCTCAATCAAAATATTCCTTAAGGGAAAAGTTTCCTCTCAAAACTCATTAGATCTGCAAGTTTGGTGAATGCAAGCGGTAAGAGGTATCACTGTGATTTATGAATACTTAGATATAGAAGATTCCCAGTTGGGATCTCTATATGGGTTACCTGAGAAACAATCTCTTCAATATCCAGTCAGCTTTCCTTGTCAGTACTTAATCAAGAAAGAGAATCTTCGGTCAATTTTTGACTTCAAGAATGAATTTGATTACTGAATTGCAACTGCTGGATATCTGCAGGATGATTCAGGTCACACTGACTATCACAGGTAACAAAATTATAATTCCCCTAACCTTCTGTTCATTGTAAAACTGTCGGCCAATGATTTCAAAGGTTTGTTCTCCGAAACTGCTCATACAGAAGTATATTAGTAATCGGCTTAGTGGAAATCCAAATGAAATCTCATATTTCTATCGATAAATCATGTCGCTTAATGTAGACTGGACCTTAAAAGTGCATCTCAGCAACAATTCCTTGATGCAGTGAGTTGGTACAATAGATGAGATGAATATTTAATTTCTCAAAATATCAAAAATGAAAGGAAGTATGTCAGAAAGGTGAAACAGATTTGACTTTATAGTTGGAAGGATTTCTAATCGACAGTTTTATGAACAAATTGATAGGTAAGTCTTGGGAATTTGAGACAATCAAGTGTTCAAAAACTAAATCTAGTTTAGGCCAATTTCATAAGATTCTAAGCTTTCATTGTATACAATTCTGGATTTTGAAACATAATATGAAGTCATGATATGAATTGGGGTGTTCTCTTAAAGTCAAAACTAAGTAGTATCTGTGTTGGATGTAGTCGGGTAAAAGCATTTTGTTCTAATGCTATGTTACTTTGTGCAGTGTTGTTCCACCCCACCATGACCATGGTGCGTCTAAGATTAAAAATGCTGAAGGTGGCCAGATTGAAATTTGTCATCAGTCGAAAACGTTTCTGACATCCCAAATCGATGGTTATGAAATCCAGCTGACAAGGATGATATTCGATCTCAGTGGCATAGATATCTCCACAGATAGTCTTCATCTTAAATGTTACATCACATTTCATTATTATCTTAAACTGCCTACATTCTCTTCTTATGATTCTCCTGTGATTTCGATTACATTTCTCTTCTGTTTCTTCATCATTCATCCTGATATCTTGTATCTTGATCTATTGATATGAAGTTTGAATCGTTATGTAGTAATATGTGTTCATACACTGATACTGGTTTACCTGATTTTCTCAGTGCAAATGAATGATAATGATATCATATAGAGGAAATAAAAAATAAATATCCTTATGCTATTGGTGCTGATGTATAAGATACTACTATCAATAATCTGTCTGAATAATAATTCATCAGTATAGAAAAATTTATTTGTCAGCAAAACGCACCCTGTGAAGTATATTTGAAGTTATCCATGTACTATTAGTGATCATTCAAGCAATAACTTTCTCAGCTTCTTAAAAACTTATTGGAGTAGTAGTTACTAAGGTGATCTTGGTTTCAGCCAACAGTGCTCATTTTAGTTACTCTCTGTTAGCTAACATCAACTCTTTAGTCTCCAGTATTCTCCATTACCGATGTATATTAGGTACAGCCTTGTGTATGAATATTACGCAGTACATTTCTTCTAAGTAACAACCTGACTAAAACAAGTGTTACTAGTATAGTGTTACATAGATCAGTAACATACCGCGTCCATGAACTAGCATTTCATGGGTGTTACTAATAAGATGGTTGAAACAGCTTGTCTACTTCACTTAAGCAATGAGAGCTTCTATGTCACCATTCTTCGTTGTGTTAGTTAAACCAGATGTTGTTTTCACAAGGTTATTCCTTCTTGTTGTAAGAACTAATGATCAAACACATTTGTATCTATGTTGTTGCTTGTATTACCCCATCGTTTATTGAACCATATTGATCGGTCTATATTGGTTTATGGGCTTCTGTGGGGATACCCCGATGTTGCCTACGTTTCAGTTTTACATTCGTGATGGATAGCGGTTAGAGTTGGAATCTAGGTAGGACAAAACACCATCATAACTATGGAGTTGAAACGACAGGTAATATCGAAGCATCTCTGGAAGAGCCCATATGCTAACAGAGACTGAACAATTCGGTACAGTAAATGATAGGATAATACAAGCAACAGCACAAAAACTATACCTGTCTCACATGGAGTGGCTATCATGGGTTGGTGGTGTAGTAAATAGCACTTCGGAGTTTGAAGCGATCGATCGTGATTTCGAGTCTTAGAATGACATGGCTTACTAGGAAGCAAGTACTTGCAGCTGACGAGTTCCAAGTAGAAAGAAACACGCACCCTGGATTACACTAGCATTTTTTCTGTCTTGGTGATTTCCTACTGAGAAATGCAACTATGTAGCGAACTGAGATTCAAATTAGAGATACGTGTTTTACCTCTCTTCAAGTCCTTTACTTTTGTCATTATTGAGAGACGAACTATTTGCTCCCAGAATCCTTAAATTCATGTAACTACACATATTTGACTGGATAACAAACAGGCTATTCATTATGCTCGGGGAACGTAAAACACATATAATTTACCTGGTTATACTTGAATAGCCTAAAGACTGAGTCTTCGACAAAATAGTTACACACAGAGAATCTTCGGAATCTTTTACATAATGCTTCCCGATAGACAAAAGTCTGAAGCTTTAGCCTAAATACTAACTGTTTTTGGAAATCAAACATCCTACAAGTCAGAAATGTTAACAGTTTCATGTGACTTCAAGACTAGTTGTCTTCTTGGAAAAGTTTTTTAAACAAGTAGAATGGTACTGTAACATAAAATGACATTTTCCACCATACAGCTGTGTGGTAGCTATTTGACGAAGACAAATTTACTGCAAGCTGCTCTTATATTAAATTAAAATTCGACCTAAAATAAAACTGTATTTACACTTCTAGTGTGTTTTCAAACAAATCACATTCCATGAACCGATCACCTACATGAAGACTATATATACAAGTTAATATTTGTCGGTATCATTTATTTATAACGATTCAGTAATTGTAAACCTACAAAAATACCAAATTATCTTTTCAGTCGTTAAAATGATCCTTATAAACCAATCCGACTAGTCAATTCCGCATTCATCCAATTACCATCAGGTGTTTGCGATTAAGGCAAGAATATATAATTGATAAATTCACAAAATGCACATTCTATCTGTATTATAACCTAGTCTATGTGATAAATATGACTTCATTACGTTTAAATCACTTCTGTTTATTCACCTATTCCGTAGCCTGTTTCCTGTATCATTTAAGTAGTATTACTGTACTTGCGGAATCGATAAAGTTTGGTAAAAAATCTGATAAAGTGAATTATGCAAATCCAGATCAAGCAGGGTAAGTATATACTTCTCATTATTTTATTACTATTGTTATTCGTCTGATCTGTTGATACTTGTGTTGAATAAGGATGAAAGCTGAATATACTTGAAATTTGAGATTTGGTTTGTCATAGTTAGGACTCATCAGGATGGTAAGCTTATTTACTGTACAAACTAATCCCCACAGCACGAACTGAACTGCAGTCTTGTTGATTAAGAACCTCGGCTAGATCAAGAGGGTAACATAGTTCTCGAGAACGAAACTGTTTCTCTTTAGTTGGATGGAGGCGGTCGGCAGCAAGCCTTAGCCCTAAGTTTCGTGCTTGTTGGCACTCGTCAACTTGGCTTATCTGTAACTCCTATGAAATTGATGTCCTGTCTGAGATTCAAACTTGCGCCGCCCAGTGTTGTAGTCAGAGACGTTATCACTGAGCTGTTTCGGCCGTGACGGACCGCCTGTGGGACTGGATTAGATACATTGACTGGCCACTAGAAGATAAACAACTTCTTGTTGGCCAGTCTTAATCCAGTTCTACAGGATGTCAGTCACTGCTTAAATAGCTCTCTGATTACAACACTGATTGTCTTGGGTAGGATAAAAGTTCCATTGGGGATATAGATGAACCTTGCTGACAATTGCCAACAAGCAAGAAACCTAGTTTTAGGTTTGCTACCGACTGCCTCCATCAAACTAACATCTATCAATGTACGAAGATGAGCTGTCTAGTATGATGGTCACACTGCAAAATGATTAATAGAAGTCGATCAGCAGGTAGGACTAGACAACATGGAGTTGGTCACCCTCCAGTTACCAATCAAGACTGTGTTTGATGGGAAATTAAGTCATACCATATACGACAGTAACAATGCGACGGCAGTAAGGTATTTTAAGTTTCTAAATGAGTTAGCCAGAAGTAGTCAATTCAGTCGAGACAACAATGAAAAATCTCTCAATGTTAATGTCTCATAGTACTGAGTGACTTTTTTAAATATCTACAACAAAACAAATAGAAAGTTGAGAACACAACTTTGAAATAAGGCCTAGTGTTGAGATTTCTAAATTCCAAGACAATTCATATAGGGAAAATCAAGAAGAGTAAAAATCTGTTGAAATGGACAAGATAAATGAATGAAGGATGACTGGATGAGCATGAAAAAGATATTTAAGAATATGCGAAAGACAAAGCGTGAATTCATCTGCATTGGCGTTATTAATTTTGAGCAATTTCCTGCAAGATACAGAACCATTAATATTTCTATCATACTGCTAACTGTCACTAAGGTAACCTTAAATTTCACTCGAGGCTTAAATTAACAGCTGGTGTTTTCAAAAGATGATAACATGTTCTTCTTCTGGTTACCCCATAGTGAACTGCAGCGTAATCCTACGCGAGCCATCATCGATTGCTGGTGTGTGTAATAATCCAACAGGTGTTACACATATTCCGATCATCTCAACCAGCGTATGTCCATATCATTATTACCTGACTCATCTTTTTTACTGGCAACTCTGAAACTGAAGAATTCTCATTAATATCTGATCAGATCACACTCGAAAGTTTGCAACATTAGAATTGAAAATTTCCTGTTTTCATTTCCAGATTCAGACTCATCAGCTTACGTCAGTTTACTGGCTGTTTAAACAGGATACTCAGTATCAGCCTTGACTATGTTTTAATATTATTTTTATCAGGTAGTTGTAAAATAGGTGAACTGATACGTGTTGAACATCTTGAAAGTCAACGACCGGAGATTTTAAGTCCTAGTTACAACTGATAATTGTTAAACCTTCAGATTTTCGTTATAACCCTTCAAATCTTAGGACGATACAAGTTACTTAGAGTTGTGTTCCTCAATCACAACAGAGATTTCATGAGTTAGAGTCCTAGTGGGAATAACATCGCTCACTAGGAGGCAGGTATATCGAGATGACAAGTCCGAAGTAGCACGAAACCGGCGTCTTGAATTTCACTGATATCCACCATCTATCATTGATGTGTCACAGGATTGGTTTCTGGAAAAGCGTGAAAATACTTTTTAACTATAGACACAATTAGATGGGTTTTGAGGAAGGTTTTTAGATAGTTTATGTAGCTGATGAGTGTTAAGAAGTTCTTGTTCCGAAAGCCATTTGAGTAAATAAAGAGTATTTTTTCCGATAACATTTTCCTGTTCAAGTCCTACAATTATGCATACATAATGAAGAATTAGGGGTCAATAATAATGAAATTCCACTTATGAGTTTGTTAATAATATTATACAGTTGAGGAAGTCAATTCAGAAATCTTCTGTAAACGTTTATCGTAGAATCAATATTAAATGGAATTCAATTCAAAACTAATGTTTATCTGAACGATTACGTGGCATAGGTGAGGCTGTAAAGCGGTAAATCAATAAAACAATCGAAAAGTGTCAATGAGAGCAGGATGAAATAAACAAAGAGAGATGATTTGAGCAATAGTAGCATGATAGAATGTTACTCATGTTGGGGGACAAAATGGGTTGAAAGAATATGGTAAAATGAAAAGATATCTACAATATGGAACTAGAAAATTTGATTACCTGCGATTGGATGCTAAGGAAGAACTTGTGCGTCCGAATCGAGCCACGGTTTTATAGTAGCGGAGATATTTGCTTTTCTGAACATATACCTTTGGTTATTTTATCCTGATTGCTACTACTTCTGCAGTGTAAAGGATTCGAAGGTGAGTACCTTTTAGAAAGTTGAAGAGAACCCGGTATAGAATGGAAGATTATTCGATGTCAAGCTTTTTCTGATGATACGCACTCTCGGAATTAAATTTCCAGAAAGCTAGTTTTAAAGCTAGCGTCATATTACATGAAGTTGTAAGATTAAGAGAATATAGTTAGTTTTCGAAACTAATCAAATCTTCCATTTTCGTGAAATTAATAGTGAGACATTCGATGTTAACAGAAGAAAAGTAAGAGAAGTTGTTTCTTAATCATAAAACTGTTTTACTCTGGTATAATGACTTCTTTGAAAATTCCTTGGAATGAAGTACATTCCGCTGCGAAGTCGAAGACTACATTTAATAACATTACTATTACTATTATTATTTATCACTTAGGTTCCTAGTGGAACATAGGGCTTCACCAACACGTCTTCATTCCACACTCCTCTCTGAAGTCTTTTCAATCTGGCTACACGAATCCCCACAAGCTTTCATTTCCCCCTCATATGATCTCCTCCATGCCACCCTTGGATGGACGTCCAACACGTCGTTTCCCCCCCCCCTTTCGGTTCCACTCGAGGGTCTGGCCTGGTATGGAGCGTGATGTCCTCAACTGTCTTCTCAGTGTATGTCAAATCCATCTCCACTTTCTTCTTCTGCATACTTGTTGGGCGATAGGTTATTGGTTAGTTCGTTGGCAGTCAGAGTTCCATGTTGCTTATTCTTATTATTCTGACCATCCATCTCATCTCATCTCATCTCATCTTCAGTATGGAGTGGGTGTAGGTGACAGCTATTGATGTCTGTGTGTAGTTTGTTGGAAATGCTTTTCGTAACGCGTCAAGTCTCTCAATCATCACATAGAAGCACTGACTCACTTGACTGACATTTGTGTTGACAATCCTGATCTTATTCACGCTTTATGCTGAGTGCAGGCTACTTAGTACTTATGATTTACTTCTTCAGGAGAGTACTTGCTAAGTAGTAATACATGTTTTAAAGATTTATATCCAGTACATAACTGAAACTGTTCATAATAGCATATTTGTTGACAATCGCATGTACTAACCGAAGAAACTCATAAAATTTCCAAACTATAGATCATATTTAGAAAAGTGTATTTTGTGATGAAAAACGGTCACGAGTCTACGACAGGTTTTCTATCAGCTTCATCTTTTTTTGTTGAGTAATAGAAATATACTATTTCTTAACGCCGTGTGGTTAGTAAAGGCATATCTTTTAACCTACTAACTATATTTCCTGATTTGTAATCATTTCAGATATAAATTTTGGGTTTTTGTGCTAAAATACACCCTGACTGTGAGTATTTCGCTTACAAGTTGGCCTACTGGTAGACGTATGTATGTTTTACGTCATTTATTGATTATAGTCCTATGAGTTATGAAAAGTTGTACCTACATAAAACTTGTAACCCAGTTTCGAAATATCTGAACTGAGTTTATTCACTATTCAAATCACTAATCTTTTTCAGAACCAGCTGGTAATGGAAGCGTCAAATAGGAAACGCTCCATTGTTTGTTGCGAGACAGTAGACGTTCCTATGATATAAATCTACTGTACCACACTGAAACATGTAAAAGAGATATATGAAAAGAAGGATGAGACTTTTCATCGTACATAATCACGACTACTGAACAATAGTTCAGTGATCAGATGTCTGACCATCGAAATGAATGCGCCACCACTTGATCATAATCAAAAGTGACACACTTGTTAGTTGGTTTAGATTGAAGTAGTAAATAAAATTAGGAATAAAAAACATAGCAATAATAAAAGTGGATTTGGTAGAATGATATTCCACCCGAAGCTCAATAAGAGTGAATACATGTAATACATGCAATATAATTATAACTTATAGTCACTAATACACCTGTATAATACACCAAATTAATACTTGAAAAGTTTTAAGGTTTGTATTCATCATGGACTAACATCAATCGGAGGAACATTGAAAACCTGGGAGCACTGGACAGCTGCTTCGTCCCTGCATGAGGCTCCTCAGCAGTGCGCAACCCAGACCCTGTCAAGGGTCGAGCCCAGAACCTTTAGGTTCGGCGACCAGCACGTCATCACTGAGCCATTAAGTTGGAATCCAACAGTCTATGTTCCCTGCTTCTGTCAGTTTGCTTAAAAGTTCGTGAATTCGTGCAGTAGTGATCAGTTTGTCTGTGGAGTACCTGTTGTTTGTCTAGAGGTAGCTAGTTTGAAAGTCAAGGTGACCAGAGTTCTCAGTTAAATAGAAAAATTACCACTGCAAGGTGAAATAAGTCAGCAATTCAGCCTTATAAAGACCCCGGGTATT